GTCCGCCTCGCAGGGGCGCGTGTCGCGCCAGTCCGTGAAGAGCGTCGTCATCGGGTGGAAGGCGTCGCCGCGGATGAAGAGCGTCGTCTTGTCGCGGATCGGCGCGAGGGACGCCAGCATCGCGTTGACGTAGTCTTGTGTTACTGTGTTGGTGAGCTGGCGGATATACCTGGAGGGGCATCGTTAGCATAGCTTTCAAGCATCAGAGAGAGAGAGAGAAACGTACCATGCTAATTTCCAAAACGGCGCCGAGGAAATCACCTCCTCGCCGCTCATCGTCGGCACCACGCTCTGGAAGCTGACGGCCACCGACATGAAGTTGCTCTGGATCCGCGCCGGCACAACCGGGTCCCGGAACCGCGGGCGCATGTTGACCGCCTCGCCCCAGATCAGCGCCTCCTTCAGGTCCGGCTCGTACAGCGCCGCCTTGTGCTTCGACAGCACGCGCCAGATGTGCGCCGTGTACGCGTCGTAGCTCGAGATCCACCTGCCCTCGCCGTCTTCATCCGGCGGGGCGGCGAGCTTTTTGAGCTTCGCCATCTTGCTCTTGGGCAGGTGGAAGAGCAGCCGCTTCGACGGGCGGTACGCGGCGTTCCGCTCGGGCGCCGCGCTGGGGCCGTCGACCTGTTGGGACTCTGGGAGGTCGGGCTTCGTGGTGAGGGAGAAGTCGAGGCAGGCGGGGTCCCAGGCGGGGAACTTGGGCGCAGAGCCGGTGCCGCGGGCGGCCCAGATGGCGTTGCAGTTCTCGGCGAGCTGGTGCAGCTGGCCGGACCAGGCCATGATGTCGCCCGAGAAGTGGTGGTGGTGCATCATGAAGACCATGCCGCCGGGGATGAAGGTGGCCTTGTAGGCGGCGGCCTTGGGCCGGCTCGTCCAGTGGGACTCTTGGCACTGGCCGCCCTTGAAGGGGTGGACGGACCACGTCTTGGGGTCGCCGAGGGCTTTTGAGGAGAAGTGCTGCGTCTCGAGGTCCGCGAAGGTGGGATGCTTCTTGTTCTTGCCGGTGGCGGCGGTGTTGTCAAGCCATTGGACGTGGAACTCGACGGTGTCTTCTCTCTTCTTGTGCCAGCACAGCCCGGAGCCGGAGGGGTGTTTTGTGAGGACGCCGGGGAGCTGGCGGACCTGGGAGAGCGTCCTTTCGAGGCCGGCCTTGAGGACTGTGATGAGATCTGACTGGCTGTCTGGGGTGGCGGAGGGGAGCTTGAAGAAGAGGACGTAGTTGCACCAGAGCTGGCCCGAGAGGTAGTCCAGCGTGGAGAGGGGGAAGATCTCTTCTTCTGGGTCTGATTCCCAGTTGGAAGGGTGGAGGTGGTGCACTTCTACCCGCGCCATGGTTGGTGATGTGAGTCTGGGGTAGTGTAGCGGCCTTACACGAAAGATGTAACAGTATAGGAGATATGTGGGAGAGGAAGAGAGGATGCTTCTTCTTGGGGAAAACCAAAGAGTCGAGGAGAGCAATGGATTCTTGTCTACATCCTTCAGACATCCTACTTACACGTCGGCCTCGAGGGAGTCATATATGGTTCTCACCTCGGCGGGGGGAACCAGATCCCTTCCCGTCAGATGGCTGCCTTCCTTCCTCGCCCCTCCATCATCCTGCGCCGCCATCACCGTGGAGGCAGTGTCGGTATCAGTGCCAGTGACAGCGTTCCTCCGCCCATTCCCGGCACCGCATGGCTCGTCTTGGTCTAGATAGGATGTGATGTTTGGGGGCCATCACATCTTGGACTCCTCCTGCAAGTACCAGACTCTTCCTAGTGGTAGATATGCGTTTGCCGTAAACGGTAACTGCGTCGTTGCGTGAACGACCGGGAGGAGCGCCTCTACCCCGGCCACCCTCCTCCCCATGCCACATCCACATGGTCCAGCCAGCCACGGCGCGGCACCAGGCGTATCTTAGCGGAGTCCCGTCACAAACCTTCGCAGGTTCGGCAACTCGGGCAATAGGCCTATCTCTCAAAAGTGGCCTCAAGCAGAGGAAGATACATGAGCTGAGGCAGGTAGGTAGTCAGGATTTGGGGGTCTGTGACTCAAGGTGCGTGTGAGGCGTATGTATGGTGGAGGTGGAGGGTCCTTCCGTACGGCTCAGCCGATGAAGAACAAAAGGACGGCCGAGAGAACTTGCGCCGTTGCGAAGCAGGAAACCGGTGGCCAGGAGGATCCAGGTACCTCTCGAAAAGAAGGCAATCACACCGAGAATGTAGAATGTGTGTGGGTTTGGGGTTGGGCCTACACTGTTTACGGACGTAATTATCGTTTTTGGGCTATTTCGCACGCAGGAAAAACGCTGTTGGTTCCTCGTCACAACGCCCATTGGCTAGGAAAGCCTCATCCTCCTGCGAGAATCACAGAAATGTCGAGATGGCGGCCGTGGAGCCCCATTGGTCCCAAGGCTGCGTTACACACACCCTTCCTTCCTCTTCCCCCTGCCATAGCCATAGCCAGCGCGCGGGTGTGGAGGCGATGATGGAACAGGTGCCTAGCTCCGGATCCCACTGCGGCGCGACTTTCTTGGGTCTTTTGATAGAGCGCAAGGCTATTGAGAGAGAGGCCTTGGTGGTAGGGTGGGATGGGGAGTGCATTTTCCTAATGAGGAAACACACGAACGAGTCCCTCTTGTTGATAGGTAGGAATGGCACTGCGAATGATTCCTCAGCTAACTCGACCCTTGCGATGAGGATGAGAAAGATGGAGGGGTGGGGTTCACTTGTTGCGACTCGCCGGGGTCCGATTCCCAAATTCCCACCAGCATGCACCTGTTTCCCGTTGATTGACTGACGCCTGGGCTACCGGCCGGGGGAACCGTTTTCGCTGCCTGCCGGTGCTGCGGCTCAAGCCATCTTTTGGCAGCGCCGAGCCGAAGAAAAAAAGTCGATAAATGAGGCTTGCTGGGGGCCGTTTCCGGTGAGTGTGAGCGCACGTGGGGTACGCTGTTGCGCCCAGAAGCAGAGAACGATGAGTGAGAGAGTGGATGACGAGCGAATGCCCGGGAAATGCCATTGGGAGCGAGGCGATGCTGCCGCTGAAGAAGGAATCGGGTCCCTACCTACCCCTCCCCTCCATCCTCCGCCTCCCTGTCGACAATCAATAACGGCTCCATCCCGACTCACCGGCCGCTCAGCCTTACGAGGAACTACGAGCGCTTGTGGTGTGTGGTGTATGGTGTGTGGCCTCGACGTCCTCATTGGCTTCATCGGGTCATCATTCCTTCCTTTAAAATGTGTCGCGGGGAGCGTGATTGCTTGGCCCTCTACCGCGCCTCTTGCGCCGCTTCGGTTTGCCTAAACGGTGGACTTCGCCTATCGCCGCGCGGGCGGGGGAGGCGGGATGATGACAGAAAGACATTGTCTCAAGAGCAGAGGCACGGCAGACCGGTGGAAAGTCCGACGGCGGGAGAGAACAAAAAGTGTCGCTGCGTCTCTTCGTCTCTTGGAGTTTCGGCCGTGACAGACACAGACACAGACAGATGATGTCGCTATCAGCCTAGCGGTGCCTGGAATATCCAGTTCGGTGGAATCCTGTAGTAAGCTGACGTAGGGCTGCGATGGAATGTCACTCTCACTCCGTTTTCTTTTTCTGGGTCATCCCCAGCGGCCGATCGCCACCCACTCAACTCGCTTCAGGCTTACAGTACTTTACCCAAGGCGGCGGTGCTGGGAATGGGGATGGTGGGATGGGATGGGATGGGCCCGCCTCGACTGGCCAGGCAGCATCGCGCGTAGCTGCATCGAATCGCATGCACTTCTTTTCGCCATCATGTTACACCAAGATCTTCCAGCTCCCTGGACTTTGGGAGAGAAGAAGGAGAAAGGGGGGTTCCTTTTGTTCTCTCGACGATCACTGAGAGAGAGAGACATGGCCGTTCCCATCCTGTTGTAATTGGAGAGTTCGTGGCGTCGTGCTGACACATCCCCTGATTTCCGTCGCATCACACGTACTTCAGATGTGACCCTCTGACGTTCCCTATTCGCAGCTCAGCGGCGTGGAAGGCCTTCGCTCCTCACAGGTAACTACTTATGTAGATTGCTCACAACATCTTGACTTCCGAATCATAAAAACTGACAAGCAATTGCAGATGGCCCAAGCAGTGCGTTGATTGCCATGGCGGGTTTCCGAAAAGCATGAATGCATTCACAATGGAATGACTATCCAAGAGTTGAGTTTAGCTAGCAAACCGAATATGGTGGTTGCAATGCTTCTAGGTGCACCGTTTTAGCACTGTGAATCCCCCACTGATAAGGCCAGAAACCCCCATTCGTTGAAACGACCTGGAGCAGATAACCTTGGTCGGCCGTCTGCAATTTCCATGCTTGCCGTTCCAGCGTCCAGTCGTCCACAACAGTCACCAAGGGATTTGTTCTGCATCTAAGGTGTGCATCCTCATGGAACCAAAAGCAACTTCACGTTCTCGCAAGGCTGCAAAGTCGCGAAGTGAGTCTTACCGCCGGCTGACCGGCCAACGAGGGCTAGCCGATACCCCGATCTTGAGCTCGCGCTCGCCGCTGACCGCACTCTAGGCGGCTGTCATCGCTGCAAGCAAAGGGTAAGACCAGTATTGAATGTCTCTTGTATCTTAAACGACCTGCTTAACACTGAGCGCAGAAGCTGAAGTGCGACGAAAGCGTCCCCAGCTGCTTGAGATGCATCAAGTCGGGGATTGACTGTCCTGGATACGCTCGGTCCTACAGATGGTCTAGCAAGCACGAGAGAAACCCACAAACGCGGCGTGGTTCCGATGCGTGTCTGGGTTCGCAATCAAGTTGGCTCAAGCATGGAACCCAAGTCCTATCACGTGCACTACTTCAAGATTCAAAGGCAAGTCATGAAAAGCTCCTGCAAGGTGGTTGGTCTCGAGCCAGAGAACCCCCTTCCCCACCCGGTTGCGTTGCGGGCAAAGTCTCCACGCGCGCTTGCGAGCTTGCCAGCTAATCTATCTGTAGTCGCTTGAAAACACTACTAAGAACCGACCAGAAACAGTTGCTGCGCCATCATCCATAGTAGAGAACGAGATAGACGCGATACCTGCCATCAGCAGCCTACAACATGGCCTGTCGTTTCGCTGGCCAGTTGAGCAGAGCACACTGCTCACGAATCATTACGTCACTCATGTTTGCCGAATCACCTCGTCTTTCGACTCCAGCAAGAACCCATTTCGGGCCGATGTATTGGAAATGATGAAGAAGTCACGTCTGCTTTTCCTCTCCGTGATGAGCATATCCTCAGCACACTTCTATCGCGCTGAGCCTGGCTCCACTGTTCCTCTATCATTCCAGACGGAGGCAGTCTGCGAAATATCAAGGCATCTTGTGGCGCTCAAGCAAACAAGCCCAGGTGAAGCCGGCACGTCGAGCGAGCAACTTTGTCCGAAACCGACAGGGAGCATCCACCCTGTAGCCACCGATGTGTTGATAGGTATCATCCTTCTCGGCATGACTTCAGTGAGTTTCCTCCGGGACTGGATTCTCTTCTGACTGTCCTAACAAAAAGGCGCAGAGTTGGCATGATCCGTCTGCGCTCGGGCTATGTCACATCCAAGGGTGCCGTCAACTCTTCCAGTGGTGGGTGCGTTCCAAAGGGCTTGGTTCACTTGAAGGTTTACAAAGTATGAGAGAAAATCACGTCTTCCTAGTCTCTTCCATGGTTTATTGGGAATCCATGATTGCTTTTCTCATTGACCAGGATACAGACATCCTATCTTATCTTGATCCTCTTTGCAGCTCCGTGCTCATACCGCCCACACAGGTTTGTCCCTGGACTGGTGTGGCGACTTCCATCTTCTTCCTCCTGGCCAAAGCCGGCATAATCATCAGGAAAAGGAGAGCACTCCGGCATTCCCATCTCCCAAACGAAAACGAAAATGAAGTATCCGTGGCGCCAGATCATATGCAGCTTTTCACAGAAGCCTGCAGCGTGGAAAACGCCACGCTGGATGTTCGAATTCCTTTCCCAACCTCCATCGCAGACACCGGCGATCTTCAAACTCCGCCTTCGCATTTCAGCCAGCTGGCCCGATGTTATCAAATGGGCATCCGACTGGAACTTTACCGTGCGTTCCCAGAGCTCGCGGAATCCCGTATGCAGCTGGAACCAGCGGCTGTGATGATGGTGCCATGTGACGGGATCGACAGAGTGTCGCAGCTGGTCCTGGGTCTCGCGTTTGAAATTCTCGACATTCTCGGGACGATCCCGCACGATTCCGGCACCATTGCCACACAGACGCTCATATTTCTCATTGCTGGCGCGGCGCTGAGGCAAAGCAAGCCAGGTGCGGGTGGCTTGCTCACGTCAGAACAAAACATGTTGAATCATGCGGTGCTTCGTCGGAGGAGATTCATTCTGCAAAGGCTGAATCGCACATATCACATTGTTGGCCTACGCACTATCGAGCGGGTGTGCACTCTTCTTGTCCATGTCTGGTCAGGCATGGACTCTGGCACAGAATCTCAACAACATGTGAGCAGTTGCAACGAGGATTTGATGTCAAAGACTCATTGGATAGACGTCATGGAGGAACTACGGTTGCACACTATACCTGGCTGAAGCTTGCCATTCACTCGGTCTGCTCCTTCGAAAATATACTCCGTCTCATTTAGTCATGTACATTATGTGAAAGGCATACAATAGTGCCTTGTGAACGCCTGTGTTTCGCTGAGGGAGGGCCCGAAAATGACGGTAAATGTATTTCTTTTACGGACTCATCTTGGAAATATACTCCCTTCATTTGAACTCCCAGTTGAAGCTAGGTTATAACCGTCTTTAATCCAAAAGACGCTGAAATTCACTCTAGAATATCCACAGCATCGATAAGCGTAGCATTAGATCTGGAATATACCCCAATTGAAGTCTTCAGACTGGAGCTCGGCCATGCAGTGTGTGCATCTCAGTAAGCGGTCCCGCATACACCCTCTTGGCTCGAAAGAGCCAGTATATTGCCCCAAATGCCAAAGCACCGCTCAGCACCACAGAAGCATAGTTCATGTTCAGTGCTGTCACAGGTTGCAATGGGGGTAGCAGGAGAAAAATGCAGGTAAAGATCAAGTAACACACGGCCGTGACGTTGACTGCAATTCCCAACCTTGGCATGTGCCATGGGCCCCAAGCCAAGGTCTCTGGACACGATACTCGCCGCCAGAGCACCAGCGAAATCGGCAACAGGTAAGAGACCTGCAAGCTCACCACAGCAAGCGATAGGATGGCGTTGAACCCGGTCGTCGACGCAATGTTGACGAGTCCCAGGAGAACGAGGAGACAGGTCGTGACAATGATTGACACTGTCGGGATGCCGCGCTTTTCCTCAATCTTGGAGATGACGGAGGCGAAAGGGAGTCCTGGGAAGGAAGTTTTGCAGTTAGCTCCCATCCGGTCCTGGGGTTTTTGGGTATGTGAAATGCCCCCTGGCTTACCTTGGTCACTTGCAAACGCCCACATCATTCGAGCCGCCGAAGTAAGCAGCGGCACTGTGGACACGATTGCCATGATGGTGATGGCGGCGGTCATCGCATTCGTTGCGGCCAGGCTCCCAGTGATGTTGTAAAAGATCTGGATGATGGGGAACCCGGTCGAGGTGGCGAGCGCGGAGGCGACGTCGCCCATGCAAAACAGCAACGCAATCAGGAACGTGAACCCCAGCACCCCGTTGATCAGGACAGAGCCGACCATTGCGCGAGGCACCCCGACCGCCGCATCGTCCATCTCCTCGCTGAGATGGGTGGCGCCGTCATATCCAGCCAAGACGTAGCAGCAGCTCAAAAGGCCGATGCACCACGCGACTGCGTCGTTCGACCAGCCCGAGTTGTTCTCAAACGTTGCGAAGACGAACGCTGCCGAATGCTTCTTTGGGGAGACAACGACCATGGCGATTAGAACGACGGCGTAGAACCCAATGTGCAAACCCATTGTGATTTTCTCAAGCAATGGTAGAATGCGGCTGCAGAGCACACAGACACTTGCGGAGGATACGAGGACCGCCCAGTACAGCAGAGTACCGTGCCATCGTTCGAAAGTGTAGGAATCGGGGTAGTTCAACACGAGAAGACCTTGTATCTGAGTCCCGGCAATGAAAGGCGCGCTTCCGGCAAAGGAAATCCATCCTACCGTACTAACAAGACTCAATTTCAGCACCCACAGACAATCAAGGCAGTGGAGTTGTGTACTTGGCTCTTACGTGATGTACCCAGCAAACCAGTTGAAGGCGGGTGATCTTTTCTGCAGGTAGGCGACAAAGTGATACTGGCCCCCGGCTGTAGGGTGGCTATGCGTAGTCAGGATTGGCAACGTATTAATATGTGCAACATCTTACATGGAAGCTAACTCAGCAAGAGACATCGCTGAGCATGTGGATCCAACAAAGGCGATAACAGATCCGTACACCAAAGAGGACGGACCCCCATTGACCAGGCCAGTAGACATCGTGCTTGAGAAGCGTCAGAGGGGGGAAAGAATGACGCTTATAGGAGAAGCTAGTACCTGCAAAGAGCTTCCCATGTTGCCATCAATGAAACAGACGTTGCCAGAATCGCGGCCGGCGAAAAGTTGCGCTGTCAAAAGTTAATTCAAGCTTTGAGGTGGCTTTGAACTGGCCCACCTTCAGCTTTTGAGCCGAAATAGCAGGGGAAGTGCCCGGTTCGACGGCATCGCCGAGCACCGCGTGTTTCTTGGGAGCCGACTCAAGAGCCATTGCTGGCTATCAAAGAATAATTGAAATAAACAATGCTTGGGGCTTAAACGCGATGTTTCAGTTGCGTGGAGTGGTCTGACGGGGAAAATCGCCCATCATTTCAGTTATGCGCAAGGTGATTTTTTAGATAATTACTATTTATCATTCAGTCCCATTCATCATTTTCATCGTTCACCAGACTGCGGGTATCTCTGTCGTCAAACAAAAGGCTGAAAGTGATCCTTGTTGGTATTGGCACTTTCCCCTTTGAGGAAAAAAAGTGCGAGGCATGACGTATCATTCGTAGGACCACAGAGAAGATCTGGTAGGTCAATCCTGATAGCACGGATAGACTCCGGTCTTAAGCAGGCGGGAGGTGCAGTTTCCAGTACTTCACTACGCGTATGATGTCCAAGTTGAGCTGACCATCCTCGGGCCTTCGGAAAGAAGACAGTCAATTTCGTTCCGATGCATCAGTAATCGCTGAGGAGTAACGCGTTATCTGCCAAGTCCATCACACAATTGGGTCCCCTCAATGGATTCCCTGATCCCGAGAGACCTGACTCGGAACTCACGGGACCGACTCAAGCTTGCACGTAACCTAGACTTAGGCGTGTAGCATCAAAGGTAGTCGGGTGTCGTTGCCGTGGTAAAATCTTGAACCCTCTGGGAGCTCCCCGGCTCTATGATGCGTTCATCTCAAGTACCTTCAGCTGGCTCATGTGAACAATCATTGCAGGATCGCAGGCGATGTGGTGGAGGAACAGCATATCAATTCCAATGGTGATCTCTAATTTGATCTACACCACATTCAGTTGGGCAAGCACACGTCAGGCATTCGCAATACGGCAGCGTGACTGAAAATCTACCCTCCAAAATCTCCTGCCAAATCAACTAGCTTATCAGCGCGTGTTCCTTAACCACTCCGGCCACCTGTGGTGATGTTCCGCTACTCGCCGGGTGCCGAGAGACCTAGTAAGATAGCTCAGGCCGTTCCAGGCAGCCTGGTTCTTGCAAGGACCTCGGCGGGCTTTGTGTCCGCGAGTTTGGTTGCATAAGAACCGAACCGTACGTGGACAGCGCGCTGCGGCTTTGGATCCCAGCAAAAGAACCGGCCCGTAGACCGCATCTTCTCCAGGTCGACCACAACGACAGACTCGACAGGCATGATCGTCTCCGTCCAAAACAGGAGGTACAGGTTCTCGCCGAGCTTCAGCATCTTGCACCGCTCCGTGTCTGCAAGCCCGTTCTCGGTACCTGCGAGACAGTCTCAGCTCATGGTGCCCTTGTTCAGGTAGACATGCTCGTAGGCATCGCGGGCAGTGTAGCGGTAGAGGATGTGTTTGCCGACCAGTTCGTCAGTGGGTTGGTAGGTAGCGACGGGGCCACGTTCGTCCTCGGTGGCGTGCGAGAACTTGGTGCATGTTCTTCGCTCTTCCCCTCGGTTGGTGAATCCAGAGACGCAAGTGATTGCTTGGCCCGTTGCGACATCCAGAACGATGCTGATCTGCTCTAGGAGGTCGGGGTTGTAAAAGTCGATGAAGAAAATGTTCTCCCGTACTTCGTATGCTTTGTATTCAGCGCTCCCAGTGACTCCGCGTTGGTCTCCCTCCAGCACTTCCCAGTGTATCGAATGGTCATCGACGAACTGATGCAAGATCCGAGAACCGACGTCGAAGACATGGGTGAACGATTTGCCTCCAAGCTTTGCAGACTCAGCCATCAAGTGTTCGCCGAATCCAGCCGCCATGTCTTCCAGTGTTGGCCAGTCCGACACGGGGACATAGTCAGGGTTTTCGACAGGGACAGCCATGTAGGTGTAAGACAACAGAGTTTGTAGGGTGGTGAACTGTATTCAGAGCGCAACTGGAATATTTCTAGGCCATTAACACAGACATTCCGACACCCGGAGCTATATATGCGTTGCTCCAAGTCGGAATGTACCTAGGTAGCTTGGATTGTGATGCATCTCGGGTTTTTTGTCCAAACGAGGCTTAGCTTGCCCCGCGCGGTGGATTTTGCGGATGCTACAACTTCTGGCACGAGAGCATATGAAGATGAAGACTCCTTGGATGTGGAATGTGACACGGGAAAGAGCAAAGTTCAGCGCGAAGTCCACACAATCCGTTGCGGAGGCACTGTCAGCCATAATGTGTCAATACCCATCCGAGCTCGACGTCGAGTTCCTACTCTCTGAGTGCTCAAGTCTTGTCTGCGATCATGTTGAAGAGAGACGCCCCAGGCTCCTCTCTTGGTTTAGCCGACAATTTGATAGCGACTCGACTTTCAGTATGGGGAATACCTTGCTATGGCACCCGTCTTGCTTGTCCACCCGGGACATAGTGAGAGCTTCACGATGCGTCCGTGACTCAGGGGCGTCACGACTCCAAAAGAAAGTTTTGATACTTCCGTGGCGTCCTGTTCGAAACAAGCATTCGTGGTATCATTTCTATCTCATCCTAACAAGTTAATGTACGGCTCAGGCCACTTGCCCATCAGCAGCGGCCGGTCTCCCAGACGTCCGCCCACCGGCGCCAGAATCCTTAACTTGCGCTTCTCCTTGTCAATGTCGGCAACGTAGACGTAGCCCATGATATTCGACGTCCGGATCGTCTCGGGGCTGTCCCTGACTGAGGCGTACAAAACGGGCAGCGTCCAATGCGCCATGAGCTGGGACGAGTCCACCCGCGTGAGGCCGTCGTCGGCGCCGCCGTACGTAGAGTCTATAAAGAGTGAGTAAAGCTTGCATCAATGACGGCTTTCGAAGCGAACTCACTGTCGCCTAGGCGGTATATCGTAAGGCTATCAAAGTCGACTTGCTGCGTCGCAGGACTCAACGTCCGCCCGACTGTGCCGAAAAAGTACTCTTTGATCGATGCCTCGCAGACTTGCTGCATGAACCCCTCATCTCTCTCGGCTACACCTTCAGACTTGTCCAGGAGCACAATGCTGTACGGCTCGCCCAGACTCGTCTTCTCGGACGCAAACCTCTTTTGGACCTCTGCATTCAACGTGGCCGATCCCAACACAATGATGATGTTCGCTGGGTGCCGTTAGCTTGATCCAGATCACACTCCGTTTCGTGTCTCTTCTTGGCATACCTGACAACTCCTCCACGACATGAGCAAACGAATCCAAGCCAGACGTGTTCTTCTCACTGATCCCAAACGTATCGATGATCATTCCCGCGCTCTTAGCTTCGGGATCCTGCGCAAACCGCGAGGTAACAGTAGCCGCCATTTTGCTGACGAGCTGCTTATATTTTCTCGGGTCCTCCTCCGCCCTCGCGTGTCCGTAGTAGTAGACCAGCGGCAGCTTGACCGGCACCTGACTCGGCCCGCTCGTCGGCGTGGTCCCCCACCCGTCGACAGCCTCAACGTCCAGCACGCTCCCCACGACGGCGGCGCTCAGCGTCCCCGGCAGGCTCAGCATGCCCTCCTTCGGGTCCGTGTTCACCACGATCGGTTGCGCGCCAACCCTCGTCGCGTAGCTCGCCAGCGTCCTGCACAGCGTCGTCTTTCCCGCCGTCGGGGCGCCGCAGACGGCGATGCGGGGGCCCTCGCGGCGTTCGGCCGCGGCGCGCTGACGCATGGCGGTGAGCTGGAAGTGCAGGTTCAGGTACGCGTTCGCGGGGTTGTCTTGCGGTTGGTGGTACTCGGCGAGGAACTCGGCGGCGGGGCTGCTGCCCTCGATCTCGAACTCGCATCCTTGCAGCGTGAGGATCTTGGACTTCGTGCCGGAGAAGGTGTAGAGGTGGTGCAGGGCCAGCTCGGTGCCGTCCTTCTCTGCGGTGCCGGAGAGGAGTTTGAAGGTGAGGTCGGTGCCGAAGGAGACTTCGAAGCGCCACTCCCAAAAGGGCTGGAGTCTGATTGTGCGGGTTTGGGAGGCGTTGGCCGGCTGCTGTTCGTGGTGTTGCCTCCGTCAGTATGGGTTCGCGTCTTTGCATTCAGGATTTAGAGAGAGGGTGTGTGGAAAGGGACCGTACCGGTGCTGCCAGCTGGCCCAGACCCGGAATCGACATGCTGGGCTATGTGACGGTCATCGAGGGGATGCTAGTATTGACTGCGCTGGTCGTCGTTGACGGAGCGGTTTCGACGTGCAAGGTACAAGTCGGATGGAGGATCAACGAGTCGCGTGGAATTGTTCTGGACGCGCCCACCCACTGCTGGGAGCTGCTTGACATCACAAGTTTCCATCCAGGCTGGCCCGTGCGGGAGCTTCAGCGGGGGTTTATTTGGCGGGGCTCCTGATTTTCAGGGCGTTAGCGTTCCTGCATCAGCGCATTCTCTGTACCTTAGACAGAGATAAGATAAGACTCTAAACCTGAGATCACTCTTATATCTTCACATAACATCCCAGCCAAGAATACCAACTCAAAGTAAGTCAATGACTGGTGACGGGCAAACTCCAATCCACTGAATCGCAGCAAAAGTCTAGAGTCCAGCATCGAACAGCACATCTTCAAGGGTGCACCCTCGCTCCCGCGTCAAGCAGCTCGGAAAGCTCCGCCTCGGCCTCACATTCCCCCGCGCCAACCAATCACAGCGCCTCTCACCTGCGTCTCTTTGCCAATTACGCAAGCCCCCACGTCCCCCTCCAAGCCCAGCTCCGCCACGCCCACCGGTTCCTCGCTGCCTGGCCTGGCTTGCCTCCTCAGTGGCGCTCTGCGACCGGCCATTTGCGCTGCTCTGCTCACCTGCTGACCTTGCGACGGCCACTCGGACGCCGGAGGCCCCAGACGTCACCTTACCTACCTTATTTCGCCCGCGTCTCCGAACCCTTTATCGCCTTCGCAAACTTCGCGCAGACTTTCGAAAACATCACAATTCTCTATACATCAAATCTTCACACCACATCTCGAAAGACAGTTGCGATATTCGAAATGTGTTCCGCAGACATCTTCCTCGGCCTCTTGGCCCTGCTCTTCCCCCCTCTACCCGGTACGTTTCCCCCCGCATCAGACGATGCTTGCAACAAAAGACAGCCAGCCAGCTAACAACGAAACTCGCAGTCTGGGTGAAGCGCGGCATCTGCTCCGCCGACTCCATGATCAACATCCTCCTCTGCCTCCTCGGCTACGTACGCCTTCCCTCCTCCCAATCACCCAACTCTCCCGACATACTAACACCCCGTCCCAGATCCCCGGCCTCATCCACGCCTGGTACATCATCGCCAAGTTCCCCGAGCCAGACTACGAGTACGAGTCCCTGCCCCAGCAGGACCGCGAGGGCGGCCGCGTGACGTACGTCTTCGTCCACGGCAACGGCAACGGAAACGCCCCGCACACCCGCCAGCCCCAGCAGCAGCCCCGTCCCTCGCACCACCAGCAGGGCGCCAACGTCACCTACGGCACCACGAACAACAACGCCGGCGGCTCCAGACAGCAGCCCCAGGGCGGCGCCGGCGAGGGCAGCAGCGACGGCGCCGTGCCGCCCAGCTACGCCCAGGCCGTCGCGGGCGACAACAAGATTCAGACGAGAGATTAGAGGCACTCGGTTTTGGACACTAGACGTAGAGTGGTGGTCTACACTTTGCCGACTGCATCCGTCACTGGTTCTGGGTCTTGAAGCGTTGAATGAGGTGTCCTAGACATGTCATAGACGGGCTGGCTTGTGTAAATTGATCTCGAGTTTTGAAGATGGGGGGAACTTTCTTGGTGAAACTTCTCCGCCGGGTTTTTGGCGTTATGGATTTATGAGTTATTACGCTGTGTACGAGTTATGGATTTTAATACATTGCAAGCAGTGGCTGCATCGCTTCTTTCGTCTTCATCCTGAATATCGCCGTTGTCTGTAACTGATCGGGTATCTAGATAATCCCTGAACGCCGCCCATGCAAGCTTATTCCCAACCCTCATTGGAGGTCTTGATTTGTCCCTGTACCGTTCTTCCGTCCCTTTAACCATTCCCTGTCCCTTTCTGAATCATAGAGTCCGCCTCAAGGGCTAAGTGGCCACTGACAGGTAGACAGCCTACTCGTCGGACAAACTCTTGTCAAACGAGTCATTGTAATCCTCAGCATTGGGGTTCTTCACCGTCGGAGCAGGCCGGTCGTTCTCAACGGGCTCCTTGAAGTGCGTCATGAGGTTCTGAGGCAGGTATGTGTGCCACGACACCAGAACAGCCTTGACCTGCTTGATGAACGAAACGCCATTGTTGAGATGGACGACGCATAGCTGCAGCTTGAAGCCGGGCATCATGCGAGCCAGGATGTCGTCGTCCACAAGGAAGGTTTGAGTTTCATCGTCGGATGCGTCTGCGTAGTTTCCGTGATCATAGCCATCCTCAATGATGCATGGCTTAAGCACGAGCTTGCCCACGGGGGTAAATCCTTCAGGCATGCCTTCGTTGGTTCGAACGCCACCGACAATCTCGCGGACAGAGGAGCTGGCCCGATGGATATTGATTACCTCCATGCTGATTTCCTCCTCGTAGATCATCTTGACCTTGCTCGTCTTGGGATTGTTGACCGCGTGGATCAGAGAGGCTCCCTTGATCTTGTCGACGCCCATGCATAGCATGCCAACTCCCATCGCTAACTTCACAACAGCAGCAGGGTCAAAGTCCTTGGGACGGGCGAACCCAGCGGTGTCGTCGTCGTGGATGTAGTCGAAACCCTCGCAGAACAGCTCAGACAGCGCCAGATTATACTGTCCGGGGAAGTGGATGAGAGCCTGGTGCGCGAGAGGGAGATCGAGCTTGGCCAGGTTGCAAACGGCCATGGCCTCCTTGATATTCGCGGTGTATTCGGGGCAGACATCGTGCTGGAGGATGTAGGTCAGAAAGTTCTCGATGATGCCGATGGCCTTGCCCATTCGCAAGTAGTCCCAGTTAGCCATCGCAGGCAGGTTCTCCGACAGGAAGCCCGCGGCCACGCCAGCGAAGTCAACGTCCCAGCCCTCAGGCTCGTCTGCGTTGTAGAAGCGGCTGCCGCCACCGGAGGTGTAGACGACGTCGGTTGCGGTTGCAGTTCGGCGCTCGTCGGGGGTCATGCCCTCGGTGTCTGCGTCGATGTTGCCGCCGAACAGACGAGGGGAGGTGTCAACGCCGCCAAGAAAAAGGTACTGGTTGAACAGCTGGGTTGACTCGGTGCCAGTGATGCGACGACGGGAGCGGAAGCGTTGGATGCATGACTGGATGCGGCTGTTGCGTTTGTCAGAAGTCACGACGTCAAGAGTTCCAGGGAAGGTGCTGAGGGTGGTTATTACTCAACAAAGGGTATAAGACTGAGACTGATTAGTATGAGGTCCGAAATGGAAGGATTGGGAGATACTTACGGGCTGTAAATGTTTTCTCTCTCCTCCTTGGCCTCGGCAGGTGTCATGGGAGGGTCGGCAAAATACTCTTCAGATGGTTAGCAATGGTGATACCGGTGACGGTAGTCGCAACAGTATTTACCCTCGAACCCGGTGCCACGGGACTTGGGAAGAGCCGTAGGCCCGCGGTTAGTTGTGGTCTTGCCGCCCATGGTAAAGTTTGATTGCCGTTGGTGGGTGGTGTGGGAGGGAGGAGTTGGACCGTTTGACGACCTCGAATTCTCTTTTGTAGGTGCCGACTCAAAGAAACTCGAGGTGAAGTGGTGGATCCCGAAGTTCCTCTGATCAAGCAGCGAAAAGAAAAGATCACGGGCAATGAAGCTAGAATTAAGAACTACAGGGAAGTCACGTATATCTGCGCACTTTCCTTACCAGCCTGAGGCAAGAGAGGGATTGAACCTAACTTGCATAGGGAGCGACTTCCTAATGAAGTCTTGCTTCTTTTGCCCCTTATTCTACTCAGATATCTACACACATCATTTCAGGAGGCAGACGCATGAGAACAAGATGAAGAGCGTAAGAATGCCCGTAGACTGATATCACGATGGTAAACCACATGCGGCTATTCGTTTGCCAAGAACTGTGTAGCAAACACACTGGCAAGCAACAAGCACGACAGAAAGTGCAGTCTTGACGTTGTCTGCAAACACCTATTGAAAGTTTCCCGCATCTCTCCGTTGAAGCAAATGCCAAACGGGAATTTCGGTGTTGGTCGTAGATCGGACTCAAGGCTTCCATCTTGGGATTTCATGCGATCCAATCGCATGATGGCTTCCCACTATCGGGTGTAAGTGATCGCCAGGCAAACGCTCGCAGCAATCCAATGAAAACCAGCAGCATGGGATTCGCTTAAGAGGCACAGATGCAGGTTTCTTGAGATATTGGAAGTTTGTGGGACAAGACGGGGGAAAACGAGCTGCAGTCTGCAAGACGGCTTTGCCAACTCATTCCTGAGGCGGAAGCTGGGGCGGAGTCTCTGGTGCGATGCAGATGGATGCACTTCGCAACGCGCCGCAGGAGTGGATGACGGCTGACGAAGGCGCGCAGCACGCCAGGCAGCTCGCATGGCTCGCATACGCAAGAAAATCCATGGCTGACCTGCTGGATCCTCTGGCGGGCTGTCCACCACTTGATGTGGGAATTGTTGCCGATGGCGGTGAGAAGACAGCTCCCATTCACGACCGGCTTCTAGAACCATCAAAGACCACTGCGATGACCCAATAAAGTTTTCCGGTCATATTGAGAGTGGCGATGAGATGCGCTGCGGATGGTGTTGCGATACACCTGTTCGACGTGCTTCTCGTTGCAGAATCCGGCGAAAGCGAAGCTGGACAGCAACGTTTCCTCGACAAAAGTCGCCGTCTCGAGATTCCCCGTCATGGATCGCATGCAGTCATGCCACCATCGACAAATGACTAGAACCCGAACGAGAGGGAAAGTGGGAGAGTGGCAGTCAGCTCGGATAGGCTCTGTTCTGCGTCAGATCGTGGCCGGCTGAGCGTCTTTGTCGACGGTATCATTGGGTCAGACGCATCACCTGCAGGCTGCACATCACCACCCTACGTATCCGTCCTTGGAGTCTGAACAGGGCGCTTTCGACACCCCTGGCGATCTCTCCGTTGCGAAAGTATCCGTATGTACCGATGTCCTGGGAATTCAGAAGATGTCGAGTTAGGCGGTGCAAGGTTGAGTAAGGCACCTTGGTAGACCGTCGATGCAACGCAATAATAAGAATTAGAGTATTCCGACTCGGCCGACAGCGAAAGCGAACTGCGGATTTCAACGTTGGGTTGTTTGCCCCATTGCTCAGGGAGTGGCTCGAGAGTCGGAGGCCAATGGTTCACGTCTGCGAGAGCGTGTGCGCCTTGGACACGAATCAACAGGGGCCAACAGCTGGACAAGGCGGACTGGGAGGAGAATCGGAGAGAGGATCGACAGGGCAGCTGAGCGAACGAGGGGTTGAAGAGGAGGTCGAGAGCTCGCGCGAGTAAGACGTAACGAGGTTCGCTGGTGGCTGAGTGACATCCGCCACCTTTTTTTTCCCCTCCTTGCCTCTGCGACGACCACTTGAACAGGCCTCGTTGGTGAAAAGCGCGGGAGGGAGACATAGAAACGAGGGACGCGTCGGACAGGGGTCTCCAGAAAAACAGCGTCGCTTCGCAGGCGGAGATCCCTGGAAGAAGGTGGGAAAGAACGCTTCTCCCCCTCTTGCTCCCTCCCTCAGGGCCCCTTCCCTGCCACCGTCCCGCGGCCACGCCTGGCGGTTACTGGCTGGGTCAGGAACACTGAAGGCCCTGAGGCCCTGAGGCCCTGTGGCGGTTGGGCGGTTGAGCAGGTGGGTGAGGGAGATGCCGCCCACACGCCGCATGCGCATCCATCAAATCTGAAGTAGTTCCACACGTTTATTGGCAGCTGCGACCAGAGTCACAGCGGTGTCCACTGAAAGGTAACTTGGGGGTGCTTAAAGTGCCCTGCAGCAGTTGTATCTGCAATGCGGAGCGCAATCGATTAGACCCAGCCCAAATGCCATTTTCATTTTCCCTCGAATTCCCGGCCAGCTTCCATCGATCCCTCCATCCATCCATCGTGACTACGCCTCGTTCTCTTGCTGTCCCTGTCCTTCTCTCCGTCTTCTCCCTCTCTCTCAGATAACCTTGTCCCCGACTTGCTGCACCTTAAAGATCCCCCCTCCCTCCTGGCCTTCGTCTCGTCTGTTCAGACTGTCGATCTGCTCCTCCTGTGCCTCGTTTCGCTCCCGTCGCCAAGCCTTCACACTGCCGTTTGCCGGAAACTGATTTCTTGGACATTTGCTCTGTGCTTCCTACCCCCAAATCCTTTTCATTGCCACGTCGTTGCTGCTGCCGCTGTCGCTTGCAACAAATCCGATACAAATCACTCCGCTACCCCAACTTCCACCTGCGCGCGCGCGAGACAATCCTAGGGTCCCCCTGACTGCCTTTGAGGTTGACTCGACTTCGACTTTGAACACCACTCTTTTTCGTTTTCCAACCTCCGTCAACAGCGCAGAAACAATGGGCAAGAAGGCACTTCCCACAAAAGCCGAGCTCGTCGACTACGGTCACACCGTTGCTGGACAGTGAGTTGACCTACTGCTGCCCCCTTTTCGCGATCCGCGATGCGCCAGATGGGCAACAGGGCTTAAAAAGTGTC